CTTAACCAAATCTGCATTTTAAAGTTTTTGCTATTTTAGGAAGAAATTTAATGAGAAGATGTTTTGAATAACCAGCTTCTGATCCACATTGACATCCCGGAAACATTGTGAAACTTTTGGATTATGTCGGGCAATGCCCCTGGGCTAGGACCAGGAAGAAATGTTACTCTTGGCTCCCTCTGATTTTTCTCCCCAAACACATACCCCATCCCTATAAAAGTGTGAGCCTGAACCTACAGGAAACTTCTCTGCCTAGTTTCCCCTGGAAAATCAGAGGAATCGGTAGTTTTGAATTGGTGGTTTTTAAACGAGGTTCCATGGAGCCCCCAAGGCTCACAGATCTTGAGAACTTTGCTGATGAAGGGAGGGATGATGCCGGAGAGACACTTCATCCCCATTTCTTACTCCCTGTAGAACACTTCTTTTTTCTTCTGGATTAAAAGTTGGTTTTCCAAACAGGATCTTATTTAATCAAAGTATTCAATTGCTTACAAAAATTGAAACAAAACCAACACCAAACCCCAAATCATTGAGTGGATTCCAACTCATAACTCAAAGGACAGAGTAGAACTGTCCTATCAGCTTTCCAAGGCTGGAATTGGCTTAAAAGTGATGAGTTTGATATTTGTTTTAATATGTACAGAAGAAGACTGCTACATTTTTCTCCGGTTAGTCCAAACTGCTAAACTCTCGATAGGCAGCTGAGCACTTCAACCACTGCAGCAGCAGGACTCCCTAACACAAAGTTAGCAACCACTAAACAGAATTACACATAGACTTTCCCCACACAGAAAACTTTAGGAGTCTCTACCAGAATGATTTCTTGTGTAAAAAAAAGAATTTTTTTGCCCAATCCCTAGATGGTCACAATACTTTCTCAGATCCCTGAGGTGCTAGACGTCACACTCTTCACACTAACAGATCCTCTCATTGTGAGGCTGGATCTGCCACACCTGGACTTTAAAGAGCTGTCTATATTTGATCTTTAGTATAGAAAGCTCCTTCTGTGAGTCTTCTTGTCTGTGCTGCAGTCAATTCAGTTTGCTAATAACCTTTGGACCCTGTCACAGCCTCCAGCTGCTGTCAGTCCGTGAGAAGGCTTGTGTTTTCGTGAGGGCTTCTTCCGATCCATCTAGTCCTCTCTCTCTCATATATGACCTCACTCGCAGAGTATCAAAGAAGGAGAGCATGTCCTCTAATAGGACATTAATTGTTTATTGAATCATAACATGACTGGAACAGAGCAGCACTAAGCGGAAGAGCAAGGAGCACTGGTGACGAAGTGGGTACGCATTGAACGGACAACCCCTGGTTGAAACCCATCAGCTGATCTCCCTGGGTGGGGGTAGGAGGAGGGGGCAGAAGAGGTTGTCTGATCTTGTAAAGATTTAAAGTTTGTAGAAACCTAAAGGGGCAATTCTACCTTGTCTTACAGGCTCATTGCCATCAATGACATGGACGTGGATTTTTGCAGTAAAAATGCAAGACAATCCTTCAGTGAAGCAGAGAGAGGGATCTATATACATCTGGAATATATGAAAAGAAGGGGGTTAATGGTGGGTTGTAAACAAGATCCGCTTCAGGTTGAAATTCTTTGAAACGGCCGCCACTTGAACAGGAAGGAGCTAGTCACCATGTTGGTGAGCAGCGCAGGTGACAAGGCTTGACATGATTATAGTCATGAAAGCCTTGTTTTATGGGAACAAACTGGTTGCCTCTTTATACCAATAAACAAATGGCTTACATCCTGATCTTTTGCTTCTTGGAAAAGATGTATGTTCATCGTGCCATTCTTCTGACACAATTGCCTCAAGTCTGAAATGGTTTCATTTACATGCCTCCTTTTTGATCAAGCCTCCACTAGGGGTGCTAATTACCCACAAATGAGATGCAACCATTGGGTTTTCCTGAGGAGCTTTGGTTAATTAAAACAACAGCAACGTACCTACCAAACGAATAGACCTCAGCTTCATGGTGAGTAGATGTATGGGCACTCTCTTAATTTGAGGAGCCTTTCTGAGGATGGGATGATAGAGATAAGGATGAAGCACCCAAGAACACAAGGGAGGTGATTAAACAACCGTATAGTTGGGAAAACCAGCAGATTTCGATGTGGTGGCTCAACTGGTTTGAAAGTACAGCATTTAATGGACAAAATGCATTGAAATAAAGAAAAACAATGTTTAATGATTGCTGTTGTTAGGTGTCATGGACTGGTTCCAAGTCATACTGCCCTAATGTTCATCAGAGAAAACCCTACCCTGTCCTGTCCCATGGGCGCCATCGGAGGTGTCCTCGAAGCCATTATTGCAGGCACTGAATCAGTTCATCTCATTGAGGGGCTCCTCTTTTACCCTGGCCCTCTACATCTTATAATTTACAACAAGAGAAACAAAAAAGATGATAAAGACTTCAAAATGAAGTCGCAATTTTTCCATCATCTACTCTAAGAGGAAACCCAATTAACATATAAGATCAGTTACAGAAAGCATAGGGTCATTAAAGTGAGATATACACTGGAAGTGACTTACATGGAGTATAACATTCACGCTATTTTCAGGTATTTGGACACAACAATCCAGTGTTATTAAGGCACAGGTATGTCTTCTTGGGCCGCAGTCAGAAGGTCACCTTCAAGCCATAATTGAAACAATGACTGAGAAAGACTATTGAGTTTTAATATGGTTACATTAGCTGGTGAAGGGAGTTCAGTTAAAATATACCCTTGAGTCCAGCTTAAGCTCAGAGTGCTTCTTTCATTCCAGCCAGCACCAAAGACTGATTTCACATAGCCAAACAGTGCTGCCGGGGCTACTCAATAGATACTGAGCATCATCGCCAGTTAGTGGTGAGCCAATCAATAGCTCATAAGATCATAAGGAATACACATTCAGAAATTGTAAGCCAGCCAATCGGTCTGGTGATGCCTATCTTATTCATAGGGGTGTGATCAGATTTATATCAGCAACACAGATTGACAGGCTAGGAAACCTCATGGGGCATTTTACTCTGTCCTGTAGGGTCACTGTGAGTTGGAATCAAATAGATGACAAAAGTTTTTTGTTTTGTTTTTTAACTGGGGGCTCATACAATTCTTATCACAATCCATCCATTGTGTCAAGCACATTTGTACATCTGTTGCCATATAATTTTCAAAACATTTTCTTTCTACTTGAGCCCTTGGTATCAGCTTCTCACTTTCCCCTCTCTCCCTCACCCTCCCTCCCTCATGAACCCTTGATAATTTATAAATTATTATTATTTTTTCATGTCTTACACTGACTGATGTCTCTCTTCACCCACTTTTCTGTTGTCCATCCCCCTGGGAGGGGGTTATATGTAGATCATTGTGATTGGTTCCCCATCTCTCCCCCCACCCTCCCCTTCTCCTCCTGGTATGGCTACTTTCAATATTGGTCCTGAGGGCTCTATCTATCCTGGATTCCCTGTGTTTCCAGCTCTTATCTGTACCGGTGTACATGCTCTGGTCTGGCCAGATTTGTAAGGTAGAATTGGGGTCATGATGGGGGTGGGGTTGGCGGAGGAAGCATTAAAGAACTAGAGGAAAGTTGTATGTTTCCTCAATGCTATACTGCACCCTGACTGGCGACCAGAAAAGGTATTCTTGACAGAAGCAGACAGACATCTCTTCTCCCGCAGAGCAGCTGGTGCTGTTGAACCACCCACTGTTCAGTTAGAAGCAGAACACCCATCCACCACCACACCTGGGCACCTCATTCAACATGTACTGAACCATTATTACTACACAGGATGCTGTTGTTGTGAAGAAACTAGAAATCAGTAAGGAGAGAAAAGTCCTAAGAAACAAATTCTTCCACAATAGAAAGAATGGGAGATACTGTACAGTGTATGGTTTGGTTTTCCCTTAATAATTAAAGCACTGAAGGTGGTAGATAGAAATCTTTTGAAAGGATGAATGGAGATATTAAAGTCACCTACCTCCATGGGCAGGGGGAGGGGCGCGGGGGAAGGAATTGTCTACTTGGTGGAGGTATGCGCAAGACTGATTAAAAATAAGAACTGAATTCTAACCAGCTGTGGCTTTGCCTTGCTCACTCTGAAGGGGCTCAGAGAAGGGCTCTAACTTATCGTTCGATCTGCTAGGACAGGACAGGGAGTTATCTTGTTCTCCACCAGTGCATCAGGGGGCTTCGCAGTCACACCTTCACATCCTCTACACTCATGAATGAAGATGAAGGGAAGCAGCCAGGCTGTTATTGAAACAGGGTCCCGGGTGGCATAGTGGATTTAACATTCAACTGCCCACTGAAAGGTTGGTAGTTTGGATCCACCAGCTGGTCAGTGGGAGAAAGGTGAAGCATTCTCCTTCCCTAAAGATGTATTGTGTCAGAAACTGCACCGGTGGGTGTGCATTTCTGCAGCTCGGCAGCATGGAAGTGTTTCATTTTTTTGGTTTCTTGGGAAGCTTAACAAAGTCAGGAGGGAAACCCAGATAACACAGGGGAGTCCCTGACTAGGGCAGGCTGAGCAGCTGAGCTTCCGTCACTACAGGTGTGGAACAACACCCACAGGCCACATTGTTGGGCGACCTTTGGCCCCAAAAGCCCGGGAGGTATTAAATCCAGGAGTACAGCACCCCAGCAGTGGGAAGTCGCAGAGTGGTCGTTTCTAGAGATTATAATGTGTTTCAGTGATTTCTTTAGATAGCAGAGACCTTGCTCAAATAGAGTAGACATGAACCAGAGAAAAGAACTATTGCATAGTGCCCTGTGTCTTCTTCGAACACATCCTGTCGGGTATTAATCATGAGATTGCAACACCAAACCAACGGAACTAATCTGCTGGAGTCACCATTTCTGAGTATTGCTCAGGCTGTTTATTGCTGATCAGAGGATGTTATGCAATATGAGTCAGTTAGCCTTCGGCTTGTTGGATGTGCGAGGCCACTATATAAAGACAGAGCTGCCAGGCTGCGGTACTGGGCCAGCAGACAGGTAGGCAGCTTTGAGCACATCCTGCACCTAGAAAGAAGCCCAAGGCCAGCATGCCCAGCCTGCTCCTGCCCCTGCTCCTGCCCCTGCTGCTATGCCCGGCAGGCTCTCGTGGCTTCCCGACCCCGCCAGAAACACCGGAGCAAGATGTGGAGACGGTCCAGGTAAATACTGAATTTCACATGCCTTTTCTCACAGTAGTAAAAGATTTCATTTTGTTTGACAAAAATGACATGGGTTTTTCCATAGCAGTAAAAGGAATTTAGTAAGAGTGTACATATCCTCTAAGAGAACCCCTTTTACCTGTTTGTTCAGAAGTAATAGCTTCCTCAGAAATATATGTAGCCAAGCGTAAACCTTTCGTTTTCAGGGTGAGGGGAGAGGAACCGCATGCTGATCTGCCTCTATCCACTGTAATTCCCACTGCACTGTCACCTAGTGGTCGAGAGAGCGCTACTCTACGTCCACATTTTTCACCCATCAGAAGGCTTGTGAAACCAAAATAGAAACTTTAAAAGTAGTTCTCTGCTTTAGCTAAGACTTCATGCTGTCAATGTTTTCCCCATGGGAAAGATTTCCCATCCAGTGTTTCAATACTTTAATCTTTTCCCAGAAATACCTGGAAAACTACTATAATCTGAAGACTGATGGGGACCAAATTGCAAAGCAGAAAAACAAGAGCCCAGTGGTTGAAAAGCTGAAGCAAATGCAGGAATTCTTTGGGCTGAAAGTGACCGGGAAGCCCGATGCTGACACCCTGAAGGTGATGAAGCAGCCCAGATGCGGCGTGCCCGATGTGGCTCGGTTTGTCCTCACTCCTGGGCAACCTCAGTGGGAGAACACAAGCCTGACCTACAGGTAACCAGACAGGGCGGCAAAGGGTCAATGCTACTTCCCACAAAAACGGACTGTCATGGTGTCCGTTCGGACTCTATACGAGAGGAGAACGGGTCTCGGAGTAGGTGGGTTTCAGAAACCGTGCGTTTTAACAAGAGCCGACAATCTCACCTTTCTCCTGAGTAGCGGGTGTGCTCCCGCCACTGCCTTTGGGGTTATCAGGCCAAAGGGCAACTCCGGCCACCATGAAAGTTCCCTTTCCTAAGAGTGATAAGCCAGTGAGTGTTCTCCGCCATTTCCTTCGAAGGATTGAAAATTACACACCGGATTTGCCTCGTGCTGTCGTGGACCGTGCGATGGAGAAAGCCTTTCAACTCTGGAGTAATGCCTCCCCGCTGAGGTTCACCAAGCTCTCTGAGGGCCAGGCGGACATAATGATCTCCTTCGTGTGGGGAGGTAAGTCCTCTTGTATCGTGAAAGCATCCCTGCCTTAGTTTCACTTTCCTCCCCGAGCCCCCAGCCCGGCAGCTAGAATGCAGGAGTCAGGCGGAGCGTGGACTCTGGGCTTCAGGAGGCAACTGCACCATGCTCGAGGAAGTCCGGGGCCTTCTAACAAAGCCATGCGCCTCTGGCTGCCTCGCTCTCAACGAGGACCAAGGAGGAGGATGGTTTGCGGAATCCTGCTTGTTTGCAGATCACCGTGACAATTCTCCCTTTGACGGGCCGGGAGGAAACCTTGCTCACGCGTTTCAGCCAGGCCCCAACCTTGGAGGGGATGTCCATTTTGATGAAGATGAACGGTGGACCAACGATTTCAGAGGTGCGTGCCAATTTTGCCTCTGTCTCCTTCCTACACTTCACTATTTCTTTGCGATGCTGGTTGATTTAGCCGAAAGAGCACACGAACAGAGGTACTCATTTTTATATTGTCATTTATACAATAATTGATACATTTTAAAGTGTCAAAAGGTAGTTTATTCTACTAATCATACTTAATTAGCTACAAATATGCCTCTCCTAAATTTTTTTAAAGTGTTGAAAATCATGTATTTATTGTGGAGCACCTTCATAGACTCTTTATATAAAGGCACAGCGAAATTCAACAGTGGTAGCAAGATTATATGGAAATGTAAGGAAAGGGAGCCCTGTCGGTTTTGCAAAGAGGGAAAATAGTAATAGGACTTTATTGCTTCTCTGAAATGAAAGAATGAGGAATGCCACGATCTACTGCTTCCAAGTGGATGATAGCCTTCCTACAGCACTGAACTGCCCCACGGGGTCTCCCAGGCTATGTGATCTTTACCAGGCAAGCTGCCATATCCTTCTCCCACGGAGGAGCTGGTGGATTCGAACCCCTATCTTTTGGTTAGTGGTTAGTGCTTAACCCACCAAACCACCAGTGGTTCATTTGAGAACTAATATGTGGCTTCTAATTAGTGACAAGTTTGACTAATCTGTCAGTTGCAGGAGTTTGCCTTCAATTTTACCACTGTAATCACAGGGAGATTTAACCTGTCTCTATTCGGAAATTCATTCTTTCAAAACTTTTTTTTGTATATACTTCAAAATCTCACTTTGAAGATATGTACATTACTCATTGCAAAGTGTTATTGGTTTTGTTTAAACAGCCCCAAGACTAAATATATTTCAAATAATTGCAAAATGGGTTTGTTGACATTTTCAGACTATAACTTATACCGTGTGGCAGCTCATGAGTTGGGCCATTCCCTTGGACTCGGTCATTCTACTGACATCGGGGCTTTAATGTACCCCAACTACATCTTCAGTGGTGATGTGCAGCTCTCTCAGGATGACATCAATGGCATCCAGGCTATCTATGGTGAGTACAAAGGAAGACGCCATGGAGGAGAGGACATGTCTAATAGGACAGCCTCTAGTTCTATCCTAAGATGCTGACTTTGGCTGTTGATGTTCTTTTCAGGGTCAGCCTAAGCCAACCACATGTCTCTTTATTTCATTAGGATCTTCCCCAAATTCTGAACAGCCAGTAGGCCCCCAAACCCCCCAACCCTGTGATAGTAAGCTTACCTTTGATGCTATAACTACAATTCGAGGAGAAATTATGTTCTTGAAAGACAGGTAAGATATCAGTTATTCTTTGTGTTATGTATGTATTTGTAATAACAACATTCACTACTACGAACTCTATGGGCCACTGCTTCACATATTAGTTGCCTCATATTAGTTTATATTTATCATTATGTGGTATAATTGCTTGCACCTTTACATGATAATTGACCTATAATGACTTTGCTTTTCCACATGAGTGATCTCATTTGATACTCAGAAATATAACATGGAAGTGGAAGAGCAGTTACTATCATCTCACATCGCAGATCTGTAATGTAAGACAGAGTGATTGAATAGAGATTTATTCAGGATACGGAGTCACTGGTAACAGAACAATAACTGATCTTCTGACCTGTAACACAGCACCCTTTTTACCACACCTGTTATGGTGACAAGTATTTAGTATTTAATTTGGAGTTATCCACCCTTTTCACAGTATCATCAAGTTGATGGGACGGAGCCCAAAAGATCAAGCAACACTTTAACTTTTATCCTTTCCATTTTTGCAAAGATAAAAAGCCCTGCCCCACTCCCACCCCCCACCCCCAAAAGATCATGCTACTACCAAGTCTCTGTTACCCCTGGAGACCCAGAGAAGGAAAAGAGGAATTGTTGGGCTAGTCCCCAAGAGTTCTGGTGGGTAGTCCCTATATGGCGCTTCCCTCCTGCTGGGGAGACTCCTAGAGCTCCCTCTGCGTGTTGTGTATGCAAAACAACTCCAGTCCTCACATGATGATATTCCTTTGCTATGTCTGCCCTCCCTGCCATACTGCTTTTCTATTTTTGGGTGTCTAAGATAAGGCTATCTATTGATCAAGCATGGCAGAGCTCCCTGCTGCGAAGTGAGATTTGGGATTTTTTGGGTTAGATTTAAAGGAAAGCTCTCAAGGTAGCAGAACACACCTATTAAAAGAAGCCCACATTTGAGGGACTGCTCCACGGGATGGACCAGATTTGAACAGACTGAAAAGACACTGAGATAATTATAATGTTTCCTTGTCATGAGGACTAAGAAGCCTAGGGATGGTCCCTGAAATGCTGTTTGCTAAAGGGCACAGGGGCAGTCAGAGGCAGGCTGGAATTCAAAGCCGGATTCCTGATGTGCAGGCCAGACTTTCCAGTGTCCCAGTGCCTGCGTCCCAGTCTCTTTGCCCTAGCAGTGCTGGTTTGCTGAGGACCTTCTGGAGTCTGGAAGGCTCTTCTGTCTGTGCTGTGCAGTCTCTATAGATGGTAAATTGTAGAACCTATAGAATATAGAACCCACTAAGTAAACCCCCAGCTGAAGGGTGAGAAAGGGAGGGGATAAAAACTACCATATCCTAGTTTAAAAGCAACCATTGTTTCTTATCAGTAGCCTGACCTTAGAAGCTTCCCTTACTGTCCCTGACCTTTCTTTCTCATCTGTCAGTTGGGAGTTAGTGTTTCTGAAGGATCTTTATGAGGTGAGGCTTGCTGTAAATACAGGACTTGGCACACTGTAAGGGTTCACCAAATGTGGACTATCACTGCTGTAGCAGCCAACTAGTGGTGTGCTCAAGCTGTTTTCTAATTGCTTCCCAAGTCCCAGTGTTCAATTTTAAGATCCAATTACTAAGATTAAAGAGCTGTTGCTAAACAGATCCATTATTTAAAAATTAACTATAGAAACTTATCATTAAATACTTGATAAGATGCACAACTCATCTCTTCCTAATTATTTTATTATGCTTCATCTATGCTCCTGAGGCAGTCGCACAGTGGAACATTAAAGAAAATGCCACAAATCTCAAAGCCAGGACTTTCGTTTAAAGATAGATGGTAAACATTTACCAGGGTGCCAGCAAGAGGAATGCCAGCCAGGGATTGCCAGCATGAGGTTCAAGGTTTTGTGTTTGCATTGTTTTTCCCCAAATCAGGTTCTACATGCGCGTAAACTCCTACTACCCAGAAGTCGAGCTCAACTTCATTTCTGTTTTCTGGCCTCATCTGCCAAACGGACTCCAAGCTGCTTATGAAGCTGCCAGTAGAGATGAAATCCGCTTTTTCAAAGGTAAGCTTTCGGTGCATTTATTCACCGAGCACCTGTGTTACTTTTTCACCAGCCTTTGGGCTGAGATACGAGAGGGTTTTGTGTGTTTTCTCCACACGAACTTTTGAAACGCTGACAGTCTCAGGTAGCAAATCAGGAGGAGTCCGTCACCTTAATTACAAATTAAATCCAGTCTTTTGGAGTCATTTCTTTACTTGAAAATAATTAATGGAGATGTAAATTTTCTGATGTGCGTGTGTATCTGAACTTTTATGAATACTTTCTGTGCAAATGACTTGTGTATGTAAAGCATGTAACCAGTTGACCTTGCAATTGTTTACAACTCATGATAACCTCATGCATGTCAAAGTACAACTGTGTTCCATGGGGTTTTCAATGCCTGCTTTTAAGGAAGTAGATCACAGAACTTCTTTCCAAGTATTTCCAGGTGAACAGAAACCCCCAGGCCTTCTGTTTGTACCATCTCCTGATCCCATGTATTTAAAACTCACACTCTGTTTGTTCCAGTGCTCCAGAATAAAGTTTAGAGAGGCGAGCTGATTCCATAGAGTACGGGACGGAAATTTGGGGTTCATGCAACTTCCCAGTCAGAGCCTATCTCAATAGGAGAGTGTACAGTGTTAAAACATCGGGCTGCGATCACTAAAAGGTCACTAGATAGAGCCCACCAGTTGTTCTCATGGATAAAGATATAGCAGTCAGCTTTCATAAAGATGTGCAGCCCTGGACACCTCTGGGGTAGTCCTATGGGGTAACTAAGTGTGTTTTGGTTTCATCTCATCAAAAAGACTCCTGCATAGCACAATTTGTGATTCTCTACTAACCTCAATGTAGGGGTTCAAATCCTCTAGCGGTGTTGTGAAAGAACACCCTGGTGATCTGCATTTGTACAGATGATAGCCAGGACAGACCGTGGGACACCTCTACAGCACATGAGGTCCCCAGGATTTGTTATGAGAGTTTTATCTTAATATAAAGTACCTTTCGGTGGGTAAGGGAGAGAGCCACATGAGACGTTGCCAGCCTTTCTTCTAAACTATAATCCCCCAAATCAATAGCCTGTCATCCCCAGAAGTCTGTTAGCAATAGAATCTCTAGTGCTACCCTTTTTTGGACAGAATATGAACTTTAACAAGATTTCCAGGCAGTTTGTAAATACATAAAGTATGAGACATAAAGTATGAGACATAAAGTATGAGTCAGTTGAACGGGACAAAGCTCTTTGATGCCAACAGAATGCAACAGGATCCAGTGAAGAGCTTTGAAGACACTGTGCCAAGCACATGCGTTTTTGCTACTAGATGTTTGCACAGTGCACATCCTTGACCAGTAAAAGCAAATGATAGAAAACCAGTTGAAATGGGAAAAGAGCTTTTCAATACAATTTCTATCATAAAATTAAAGCCGTTTCAAACTTTTTCGTGCGATGTATGTAGGTATGTCTGTGAGAGGACAGCAATCCTGGCTTCAGTTGTATGGCCATTTCTAAAACCACTTTTTGCTGTGAAGCCTGTGAAGGTTTAGGACAGACAGGACAGATCATTGGTCCTACATTCAACAATGCATCAATGCCCACACCTTTCGTGTCAACTCATCCACTTGTCCAACTTCTTCCTTGTGTGCCCTGTTTCCATTCCTGCTCTTCCTACCCTGAGAACGTTGCCTTTGGGTAAATGTTGTCCCTTTGGCCTTAAAGTAGATTATCCTAAAATGGGAGTAAATTCAGTTCCAGATCGAAAGGGTAACTCGGGGCCATTGTCTTGAGAATCCCATTAGTACGTTTAGTCTCTTTTATGATTTTGAGTTATTTTTCACATTTTTCCTCCAACTCTATCCAGGATCTTCTAATGTGATTATAAGGCCACTTTAATGTAATGCAGGGTTTGCTGAGTAAAACCCACAACCTGGAACAGAACATAAGTCAGAATATTTGAGATTTATTCTAGTTGGATGCCATGATTTGACCCAGGATTGAAGGTCATTACAGGTTGTGGGTCATTACTACACTGAGCCTCTTGGACTAGGGTTGTTGTGAACTCCCACCCCCTCTCCCAACAGAGAGTCTATCACTGAAGTGGCATGATGGATTCTAGTCTTTTCAGTTTCAGGTTTGGGAAAAAGCTCTCAACCCCATAAACTGGTCATTCTCAATGCCCACTACAAATTAGAATCTAGTGGGAACCTTTCAAATGTATTCTGACTTAATTGGTCATGGGTAGGATACTGACATCAATATATATTTTAAAAAATCCCTCAGAAAATTGTATTGCGTACCCAGGACACTACTTCAACATATGAAACAGAGAACTTGCTAGAAATCTCCTTAACACTGTACCTCCAGTGTTTTTTCTGGCTATTGAAGCTTGGAGCAAATAAATATATCTACATCACCATTTCTCAATCGACAGGTAATAAGTACTGGGCTGTTCAGGGGCAGAATGTTCTACGTGGCTACCCCAAGGACATCTCCACATCCTTTGGCTTCCCCCAAACTGTGAAGAATATCGATGCTGCCGTTTCTGAGGAAGAGACTGGGAAAACGTACTTCTTTGTTGCTGACAAGTACTGGAGGTAAAGACTGGTCACAGGGGAAAAAAGGGTGGGGGTGGTTTCATTGCTCTCTGTACAGAAGACATGTTCTGTGCTTTCTGAAGTGAGCCTCACACTACCAGGGCCAGCTTCCTTTTCTGGGTGTTACAATAGCCATGCCAGCATCCATTTAATCTATTGGTCAATTCGCTTCCGGTGATATCTGTCCTGGGAATCCACAGAAATTGTTAGGCTGAGTTTTTAAAAGGAGATGCAAGAATTGGGGCATTCATCTTCACAGAACTACTTCAGCCAGAAGGAGCTTAACTTTCATAGCATTTCCACTACCTAGGACATGATGTGAGCGTGCTGGAAAGCTAGACCGAAATGTTGGCATTCAGGGGACTTTGTAGATCTGCTAACCCACCCAACAGCCTAACTCACTGCAGGCCCTTTTAGTTTTGAAAATGACCTCTTAACTGAAAAGTTCTTATTCAATTCCTCCTGGAGAATTCCCTATAATGATTCTGATAAGACTACAGGTTTGGCCAAAAGGTTCTGATCTTGCTAATTCTTTCTCGATCAGGTATGATGAATATAAACGATCCATGGATGTTGGTTATCCCAAAATGATAGCTTATGACTTCCCTGGGATTGGGAACAAAGTTGATGCTGTTTTTATGAAAGACGGTAAGAGAATATGCCTGTATTTTCTTCCTTTCATTCCCTCTAGTAGTGATATCATGATTGTTATTTGGCACAACAAGTGTCAAAAACATTGTATTCAGATATGACTTATGACTTTTGATACTGCTAGTTAAAACAAGAAATCAGGTACACAATGTTATTATTATTATTATTTAGTAAATCTCTTTTGTTTACTTTCTAGGATTTTTCTATTTCTTCCATGGAACAAGGCAATACAAATTTGATCCTAAAACAAAACGCGTTTTGGCTATCCTGAAAGTTAATAGCTGGTTCAATTGTGAAAAGAACTGACCAACTCTCATGAACTATGGAATGGAAAATTATATTGTGTGAGCCCCCGGAAGATGTCTTCTTGGAGAGCTGCTCCATATTTGTTTCCCGTATTTCATTCAGCCACAATTCTCACTGGTGCAGAGTTATTAGTATAACTTTATTGGCATTCATTTGATATGTTAGACTTTAATTTTGTATGTATTGATATAAGTTAATTATGTAAATAATTAACAGATTCAGGGAGTTCAGTTTAAGGCGTATAGATTCGTATGACTTAGTGCTGCGGATAGTGAATGTTTTTCCATAGTATGAGACTGTGACAGTAATATTAACCTGTAGGCTCAGGGGTAAACACTTCCTCTCAGAAGAGGGAGAACAGGAAGACAGCAGTCTCCACCAGAGGAAAGACGCTTCTAGAGCAGATGGCCAGTACTTGCTATCATTGTTATGCTCAAGGGGCAGTTAGTGTCGCAGGCATGTTTCTTATATTTGTAATAAAGCTACCCTTGTCTCTTCAAGACGGATCATTTTGTACTTGGACTTTTTTGTTGAAAAAGTCAATAGTGTGTTTTCACTATTGAAATAAATTTTCAATGGAATGAAAAAAATTTCAGGTTATGGATTCTGATACCATTAGGGGGACATATATGTCCTACTAGATGTCAGGTCCTGGGTTCATTCAGATACAGGCAACCGTATTGGCACACACCAAAACCTCACACACTGACAGTAGGATAGCAAATTCACACTGCCCTCCAGGGGTGAAAATGTAGGTGGACATGCTATGTCGCGTAGGTCGCAAATGGGTTAAGTTGCTATTTCCTAATTATAAAGCCACACAGATTAATTTTCAGATCTGAAATGAGGAGAGTGAGGCTACACAAACAGTTTAAACTTTCCTCATTCACAAATAACTTATGTCATATGAAACACGATCAATTGCTGAAGAACTGATTCCAACTTCTGGTGACCTCATGTGGGCTAACGTAGAATGGTGTTCTCTCCTCTTTTCAATGGCTGAGTATTCAGACGGAGATCACCAGACCTTTCCTCAGCGGTGCCTCTGGCAGATCACAACTCCTAATTTGGAGGCTAGCAGGCAAGGGCGTAAACTTTTGTACTACCGCTGACTACCCTTAAATCATATAGAGGGTGAAAAGAATTGTTATTTATTTTCTCTCATAATAAGGATTCCACATCAATTTTAGATAAGCCCAGGGCAGTGTGGCGAGGCTTTCTTGTGAGAGACACTTGAACTTCATCTGAGCACCTGGAACAGCTGCATTTCCCCATACTCCCCATACTCCCCATGCCTCAGAGTTGCACTCTGCGATGTTCCCCTCCCTGATATGATCACTGAAGACAAATGGGTGCATAAGCGAATGTGGTGAAGAAAGCTGATGGTGCCCCAGATATAGCATCTGGGGTCTTAAGGGCTTGAAGATAAGCTGCCATCTAGCTGAGAAGCAACAAAGCCCACATGGAAGAAGCACACCAGCCTGTGTGATCATGGGTTGTCGATGGAATCAGGTACCAGGCAGCAAAGACTCGAAACAAAACAAGCAAACAAACAAACAATCATATCAATGGGAATGAGGGAGAGGGCAGAGTGGAGACCCAAAGCCCATCACTAGTCAATTGGACACCCCCTGTCAGAAGGGCCACAAGGAAGGGATGAGCCAGTCAGGGTACAGTATAGCACCGACAAAACACACAACCTTCCTCTAGTTCTTAAATGCTTCCTCCCCCACCACTATCACCCCAATTCTATCTTACAAATCTGGCTAGACCAGAACATGTACACTGGTACAGATAAGAGCTCACAACACAGGGAATCCAGGACAGATAAACCCCTCAGGACCAATAAGGAGAGCAGCGATACTAGGAGGGTAAGGGTAGGGGCGGGGAGTAAGGGGAAACCGATCACAATAATTGATGTATGACATCCCCCCTCCCAGGAGGACGGACAGCAGAAAAGTGAGTGAAAGGAGATAGTGATCAGTGTAAGACATGAAAATAAAAAAAGAATAATTTATAAATTATCAAGGGCACATGGGGGAGGGAGGAAAAATATTGAGGAGCTGATACCAAGGGCTCAAGTAGAAAGAAAATGTTTTGAAAAAGATAATGACCACATGTGTATGGATGTATCTGACACAATGGACATATGTATGGATTGTGATAAAAGCTGTAAGAGCCCCCAATAAAATAAAAACTCCTTTTAATAAAAGAAGTGACTGTTACCTCATCTAGAAGAAGAAGAAAGAGAGAGACTACTTGTGAAGAGGCTGGAGTTAGATAGAGCTATAAACCACTACTTTCATGTCAATCATCATCAATCTGCTTGAAGTGGATTGATATGACAGACAGAAACAAAGAGTTTTCCTTGAGCAGACTGCACAACAGGTAAGAAAGTTAGCAAGGACTACACTCGATAAACCTTAGATTTTAAAATGATATACGCCTTTTGAAGATGAAATCATGTGTAACATTTGTTCCAGCCCAGGGATCACAATGGTGACTTCCGAGTTCCTGCTGTCCCTTGTCCTGGGCACGTCTGAGTGAGGCTGGCCATGACCTGGCGGGGAAAGGCCAGGACCGCTGAACTGACAGCCTCTGGATCCCGGCCTTTGTCTTCTCTAGCGACCAGGACGTTCCTGCCTCACTTGGTTTGGAAAGGGAGAAAGAGGAGGCTTTGTACTCCCATAAAGAGTTACTGTCTCAGAAACCTACGAGGGTTTCTACCCTGTCCTAGAGGATCGCCACAAGTCACAAACGACTCGATGGAGTTGAGTTTGGTTTGGTTTTATGTGGAAAACATCACCCGTATTCAAGCTATCCTGTACAATATCCCCTATCCTAACTTCCTTTGCTTCGACCAACAGACCAACAGCCAAGAGTCCTATCTGAAAAGGGGCGCTTTGTTTTTTATGAGAAATTAATCCACTTCTCTTTTCTTGCCTTCCCTCAAGTTGTACTCCATTGACGTGGTAGAAGTTGTGGTTAAACAATAAATTCACAGGGACCCAGTGATTCCTTATCTAGAATATGTTAGAAGTCCATTTAGGCCTTCCGAGTAGTCAGAGGTACTGTGGGGGGTCACTTTTTGGAGAATAGAAGCTTACGAGACTTGGGCGTCTGTGAAGCCAAATTAATTCTCTTACTACTACCAATTGCTGGGTGGGAAAAGGGAGAGCCTGCTACAGAAAAAGGAGGAGTGGGAGACTCTTGAACAGAGCCTCTCCCTTGGTGACAGGTTTACACTCTGGTTTATACGCAGGTTCACATGTAGCAGAGTGAGAGAAACAGTCCATGGGCTAGGACAGTTTTTCGTGAAGAGTAGAACACAACCCACCAATGCCATAGAAGATTATTTTATTAATAATATTCTTCCTTTAATAAATATTTAAATTGATATGACTGGAAAAGAATACATTTCCACAAAATAATCATGTCAAATGAGACTATTTTTTTCACAATAAGAGACAAAATTAGAAGTAAGGAGGCTGATCCTGTCATCTTGATTGGTATGTTGTTGTGAACATTACCTGCAAAGTACATACATGCTATATCTGCTAGGATACAAACAGGAGACCTACACTAAGGAGTAATTTGGAGAGGACAAGTTTAATATAAGGAGTGACTGGCTCTAACAGAAGATTGAGGTCAGAAAGAATTGGCCAGTAAGAAGTACAGAGAACTCTTTAACACTACAGGAATGGCAACCATCATCTACCTGTAGGACCAAGCTAGATCTACAGTGGGATTTGCTACTTTAAGGTTAAATCCAAACCTCAGGGTTGGGGACATAGCTCACTGGACAGAGAAGCTACTGAGGTGTCACACCAGCAGGACTTTCTACAAAGCTGTGAAAGGGTGAGCCACAGGAAGCTTTTTATAGCAGGTTCTTGGTAAACCACTCCACTGCAAGTGTTGAAGGAGTTCAAGGGGATGAACTGACTGCTCTTGGCTGTCACACATGGCAGGAACAGGAGAAACCATAGACACAGTGTCCTGACCCAAGTTTGGTCTCTTAGCTATCAATTCCATTAGCTGATACAGTACTGCTGCATGCACTCACTACAGGAGCTTTCCAGAGCATGATGGAAAGAAAGTTCAGGCTGTAGGATCACCTAATTTCTCATGTATAGTTGCATAATTTGTACCCAGAACCCAGGAGCGAGCCAAAAGCTGTTCCCCACCACCCTGTTTTGTTTGACTTCAAAATACAAGACATGGATTTACTACAAAATTCTAAAGGTCACCATTTTAATTGTCCTATTTTCAATGATCAGAGGACCTGTACAGCATCCCTGTTTGCCATAGACACCCTGAGTATCATTGTACCTGCTAGATCATAGGTCCAAATGACAGGTGGGCATCCATTGCCACCTGAATTTGGTGCCGCTCCTTCTGTTGTTGGAAACTGGCAGTATTAGGGGTGACTGTGGAGGAATTTAAGTAGCATATCACTCTCAAATGTGATATGTGTTGCCTCAAAATTCAAAGGGCCCACCAAACACTTTTTGTTTTTCTAGTCACGTGAGACACAACATGTATTTCATTTTAGAAAAGCTGTCTTATCATGCTCTAGTCACCAAGTCATTGGTGGATGCAATCCCCACACTGGATTTGTACGGACTTTAACTCTCATCCTTTAGTGCCCATGTATCTTTTAAAAAATACGTCTTCATTATTAAAAAAAATGAAATGTAGATGGGAATTTATACTTATTGTTCACATATCTTAATAAAGCATTTACGACACATGCTATTTTCTGCTCATCAGATCCAATAAATAAATCACCAGTACAGTAAACCAGTGTGATGCTTTGTGCAATGTAACAAAATTGACCTAACTCAGAGACACATGACTGTAAAGGTAGACTGCTGATCACACCAGCAAAAAGCAAACTGCTTCTGGTGAGCCTGAGGATTTGGTGTGCAGAAACGACGTGAACAAGTCTTGGATGTATGTTGTCGTTGTTGTTAGGTGCCATCGACTTGCTTCGAAATCAGTGACCCCGTGGGTCAGGAAGAAGCACCGGTCCGGCACCATCCTCACAATGTTCGTAGGGTTGAGCCCATTGTTGCAAACACTGTGTCCATCCATCTTCACGAGCCTTTCTTCTTTTTTGCTCCCATCGAGTTGACCAAGCATAACGTACGTCTCCAGAGACAGGTCTCTTCTAACAACGTGTCCAAAGTATGCGGTGCCATGAGATTGTCCTACCAGGTGCACAGTTTCATTTCTATCACCAAGGACATCTTTTCCAGGAAGAACTTCAAGCTGCACTGAAGGCATGAGGTGAAAACAAAGCTCTGGGAATTGATGAGATACCAATGGAAATGTTCCCTGCATTTTTCAATACTGCAACTTGAGGCTTGAATTTTTTTTCCCCTTTAGTTTCTTCAGTTTAAAATATGCTGAGCACGTTCTTCATTTGTTGGCTTTACAATCCTAGGTCTTTGCACATTCGTTATGCTAATTTACTTTGGCCTTTTGAGCTGGCCTGTGCCCTTTG